CAAGAAGAATGATATTAGAATGATATTAGAAACCGGGCTCCCCTCATGGGCATAGCCCGGGCGAGGCTCTGCCTCGCAAATCAGACAAAAAAAAAAAAAAAAAAAAAATAATAATAATGATATTAGGAAACGGAAAACCTTTCCACTCCTTGTAAGTAGAAAAGAAGTGTTATGTGTTAACTATTAGTAATAATATGATAACCTACATTACATATGATTATTAAATGCTTCATTTCAACAATTCCCTCATGTTAAGCATTCCATTTTACTCCGTGCCTGAATTTCCATTATAATCTAAAATAATCTATATATTTTTAGTAAGTAGATAAAATAATAACAATAATAATAATTAGACCCTTTTCCATGCTCTAGGTCTCTCTGCCTCCCACTCTCTTTTTTATTGCTCTCTCTTTTCGTTACTGAAAATATCAAGAGAAAGTATTTTGATTTGTGAAACAATTGTTAAATGATAACAGCATCAGAATGATAAAACAATGACATGCTGATGGTAATGATTTTAAGAGCAATATCAAATATATATGTTTACAAGAAAAATGTTACAAATAAACCATTATTATTAACAGGACTTTTATGGTGACCATATAACATTATTAACATGATTTTGAGTTTTATGTATTTTTAATCCTAAAATTCTTTACTACTGTCATCACTACGATTATGTAATTCTTTATCTTGGGTGCAACATTTTGGTTAGCATATAGTTTGCATCAACGTTGTTATCGCCAGCTTCACCATCATTATATTTTATAATAATGCTGCTGTTTTTATAGTTATTTTCGTAAGCGTTATGAAAGTGATGATAATGGAACCAATAAAAGATAAAAGCGAATAGTCAAACTTCCACACTGACCTACAACTTCCTTCGTAAATATGTTTTATTTTTTTTATTGTACCCCATTTAGTTTTTGGGTGATAGAGATTTAATGCCTATAGATCCTATATAATAAAAAAGACAAAAAAAAAGTCAGTAAATATACCCAGACAACGAGAAATGATCACCGAAAGTTTATAGATATTTGAAAAAGAAGAACTTTTGAAAATCATCATCATCATTATTTTCATCATTATTATCATTACAGTCGAAAAACTGATTTCTGAATCCAAATGATCATAATTAAAATGTCCTTTCTGATGATTATTAGTTTCAGCCATATGTGTGTGTGTGCGTGTGCGTGTGCGTGTGTGCGTGTGTGTGCGTGTGTGTGCGTGTGTGTGCGTGTGTGTGCGTGTGTGTGTGTGTGTGTGTGTGTGTGTGTGTGTGTGTGTGTGTGTGTGTGTGTGTGTGTGTGTGTGTGTGTGTGTGTGATCAACTTTTATTAATGCTGTTGATTTCATGTTATTATCATCCTTGGCATCATCATCATCAATATCACTATAATAATATTAGTAATTACTATCATCATCATCAAAGAGGAAAACAATGAATATATCAATTCTGTTGATTATTACGATGAAAATAATAATGAAAACAAAAATCAGCCATTAACCTACAAATTACGTGCTTATGTGTTCGTCTATGAGCAGGAGCGTCCAGTTGTTTATATATTCAAGTAAAAAACTACTTGGCCGAGATTCTTGTCTCAAGTTTTATCATAATCAATTTCTTCGTT